ACCACAGCAGAGGGAGGAATGTTGGAGGGCAGGAAGTGGGCATGGATTTGATCAAAACACCTTATATACATACATGAAATTCTCAATAAAGTTTTTGTAAAAAAACAAACAAAAAACAGCAGCACCGCATACTTGAGTTCAGCCCACCTGAATCATGAACCAGAAAGTTATCCTCCACGTTAGACTATCACCTCTAAAATAGTATAGACATCTAATCATAAGCCACAGCTTTTTCTATAGACAGGAAGAAAAAAAGAAAAAAAGAAAAAGCAACACAAAGAATTGCAGTTCAATTTTTCTTAAGAATCTTCGCCAAAATTTGGCTGGGGAGATGGCTCAGCTGATGAAGTACTTGCCATGCAATCACCAGCACCCATTCAAAAGCTAAGTGTAAGTGTGGCAGTGTGCGCCTATAATCCCAGTCCTGGAGAAGCAGAGACAGGAGGAGCCTTGGGGCTTACTGGACAGTCAGTCTAGCAAAATCAGTGAGCTCCAGGCTAAGTGGAAGACCCTGTCTCAAAAAATCAGGTGGAGAGTGATTGAGGAAAACATCTAACATCAATCTCTGCCTCCACATTCATGAGCACATACATGCATGAAATCCCACAACACAGCCATGTACACATGACCATGAATACACATATATACCCACAAAAATGATAAAATAATGTATGTCAAAATTATAGAATACCAGTACATGGCTGGAAAACCGCTTGTGCCTACCATTTTTTTAACCTAATGCCTTATGTCTTGATTATGAACAGACAATATAGTACTTAATAAATACATAAGTTCTGGAATTAGAAAGATATGACTATACACAAGTGATTTCACCTTTTTGGATCTCCAGTTTCCCCATCTATAAAATGGAAAAGTTACTGTTTTTCGTACATATGAAATATTTGGCACAGTACAAATGTTCAAGAAAAATGAGCTATTATCACAGCATTAAACAGGCCTCAGAGCCCACAAATAATATAAAACACAAATTAAAAATCTGTGGAATTAATTTTTAAAGTCAATAAAGTTTAGCATTGGTAATGTAAACTCTGTGTTTACTCGTTTCTCCTTTATGTACTGGCAATGGAAACTGGGGGTTTGAGTATGCTAAGGAAGTGCTGGACAGTGGCTACACCCCCAGGCCTGTAAGTATTCTAATGGCACAAGGACATTTAGACTAGTATTTCTATTCCAAACATTTAATGAGTAAATGATTCTTTTATTCATAATCACAGGTCTTATCATGGACTTGGCTGTATGATCCTCAGTGCTGTGACATGGTTTGTAAAATCCAAACTGACAAAATTTCATGTTCCCTTCATTAAATCACAAATGATCTATAATCCAGACAAGTGATTGTGGCACACTTTTTCTTTAAAATAGTTAGTTAAAAAGTTTAAACTGCAGGGTGTGGTGGTGCACGCCTTTAATCTCAGCACTCAGGAGGCAGAAGCAGGTGGATCACTGTTGTGAGTTCAAGGCTAGCCTGGTCTACACAGTGAGTTCCAGGACAGCTGGGGCTACAGGGAGACCCTGTCTCAAAAAGACCAAAAAAAAAAAAAAACCAAGTTTAAACAAGGGGCTTATTTGCAATAAATTTTTTTACTTTACAAAATTAATTATAAGACTATTTTTAAGTTGGAAAGATGAATCTAAAACATGGCTGAAGGAGTCTGATTTTATGAATTTTATGAAACCTGCCTTTTTGACAAAAAAATGGAATAAATCCATTCCATCTTGGTATAATTTAATGAATATCTTTTAAAGAAAAGTATACAAAAAGGAGTGATTTGCTAGTATCAGAGCAATTCTAACACAAAGCCATTATTTAATTTATTTTTATTTTATGTGTACAAGTGTTTTGCTTGCCTATATTTTAAGTGTACCACATGCATGCAATGCCTGAGGAGGCCAGAAGAGAGCATCAGATCTCTTGGAACTCAAGTTGTATAAGGTTGTTAGCCTGTGGGTGTTTGGAACTGAACCCAGATCCTCTCTGCAGGAGCAGTCAGTGCTCTAAACCTTTGAGCCATCTGTAAGCCCCACATAAAGCCATTATTTGACCATAGTTCTATTACATGGCTACAAACTTGAATCAATAAAGATTTCACTATGCCCAATCTAAGGAGCAACAGATCCATCAAGACTTCAATACTACTTGATGAAAGTGTTCTTTCCCAAGTCATTCTCTATATAATTGTCAAAAAATCTTTATCACCACTAACAATGGCTAAAATAAAATGGCCAGTCTCATCTGTATAAAACCTAAACTTAGGTTTAATAAATCTTAATCCACATGCAGTTCTTTAACTTCATATTTTGAGCAATCTCTATTATTTTGAGCATTCTCTCTATTACTAGACTTAGGCCAAATCAAGTAGATCAGTCCACTCAGGTTTGGCAAAAGCTACAAGTTGTACAACCATACTTTTTTTAGAGGACAACAATGGAGAAAAGGTCATTTGCTTTCCCAGACAAGAAAAAGAGCCAGGTGTGGCGGCACATGCTTGTAATCTTAACATTTAGGAGACTGAGGCAGGAGCAGACCATGAAGAGGCAAGCCTGCACTACACAGTGAGACCGTGTTTCAAAAATCCAAAGAAAAGGGGCTGGAGAGATGGCTCAGCAGTTAAGAACACTGGTTATTCTTGCAGAAGATCCAGGTGTGAATCCCAGCACCCACATGGTAGCTAACAACTGTCTGTAACTCCAGTCCCAGGGGATCCAACAGCCCCTTCTGACCTCCATGGGCACTGCACAACACAGATGCACTTACCTACATGCAGGCAATACGCCCATACACATAAAATAAAAATAAGAAATAAAAATAGTAAGAAAAAAGTTCAAAGAAAAGTGCTTGCTTCAGTTGCCCACATACTAAAATTAGAATGAAAGATTAGTATGGCCCCTGTGCAAGGATGACACACAAATTCTTGAAGCATTCCATTCATATACAATGCAACCCCTACTCCTGAGGCTCAGGGAACAGCTTAGAAGAAGGGGTGGAAAGACTGTAAGAGCCAGAGAGCCAGGACACCTGCTGCTAAATAGTGTCTTCTAGACATGACAGAGAAGGTGCACCCATGAAATCTCAACAATATGGTGGCCTACACCAGACGTACATAATGAACACATCAGTTGCATGCCAATGTGAATGGAGGAAATTTCACAAGGTTGCATCTCCAGTTGAAGAGTTAAAGGCAATAATAGGTACTGAGTGATGGAGAATCAGTTTTCTCTAGGGATGAGCCCTCTGATTAGGTTATCTAATCCCAAATAGTCAACCCTAAACACATGTACATACTAGCACCAGTAAACAGACTCAGCAGGTTTTTACATATACACTTATGTATATACACGTAACAACAATAATTACAGGAGAGGGGCCAGGCAGAGGTGGCGCATGCCTTTAATCTTAGCACTCAGAAGGCAGAGGCAGGTGGATCTCTGTGAGATCAAGGTTAGTCTGGTCTACACTGCAGGTTCCAGGCCAGCCAGGCTACAGGGAGACACTGCCTCAAAACAACCTCCCCCCCAAACCCAAATAGTAATAACATTATTATTACTATATGAAAGGTCAAAAAATTGAGAGTGGTGGTGGAGGGCGGACATGGAGGAGCTGTAGGAGGAGAAGAGAGGGTGGAAATGATGTGAAAGTGTTTATGAAATTTCCCCTCCCATTTTTTAAAAATTAAATTTATAAAGGAATTTTAAGACAAAATATTTGAAAAAAAAATCCAAAAAAGAAAAATCACTATAGAATGATTCAAATAATCAATCCTGGTAACACATTTTTCATAATCCAGATATCAAACTCTCATCATTTAATTTCAAAACACTCAATTGTTGATTTTGTTAACCATGGGGTAGTAGAGCATGCCTATAGTCCCAGGAGGCTAAGGAAGAAGGATTAGCTAAGCTCAGGAAGTCAAGGCCAGGCCTGGGCATTTCAGTAAGACTCTGTTTCAGGATAAAGAGATGGAGGGAGGAAGAGAGAGGGGGATGAGGAAGAAGGAAGGGAGGGAAGGAGGGAAAAGGAGGGAGAAGGAGGGGAAGACAGGAGAAGAAGAGGGAAGAGAGAGATGAAACCTCACTATAATACCATCTCTTACCTAGCTATGTCATACACACGGTCTGCAATCCGATTTCCAACCTGAAAGATTTCAAGAGTCAATGGTGTAAATACACTGAGTAGGTTGAAGAGAGAAATAACAATCTCTTTTCCTAGCATTCAACAATCAATTATGTTTAAACATGGTAAGTACTTCTATCTACTGAGTAGGAACACAATAAAATATCCCTGGAAACAAACTGAAATATATTACTTTAGAAGCCAATTTAACGAAATCAAGACTAAACAATCTGCTGTGTGTGGCAGCTCATGCCTAAAATCCTAACACACAAGAGGCTGAGGCAGAAGGATTGTTGCAAGTTTGTGGCCAGCCTGGGCTAAAAGTGACATAGTGAGTTCCAATCACATATGGGCTACAAAGTGAGACCCTGCCCCCCCCAAAAAAAAACAATTTTAAAATATGTATGCCCATATTTGGCCTTTGTATTCCATGTGATATAAGATTGAAAAGTAACAGGACCACAGCTGGCATATTATTGTCCACATACATTAGCAGGAGATATACAAAAGTAAAAAAAACATTAGTTAGCTAAGGATTATTATAGATCAATAGGTAAGTGGTCACTTAATAGAAACTTACTACAAACTTTTTGGACCTCCTAAGTGAGTTAATTTGTTTTTGTTGTTGTTTTGAGAAAAGGTAACCCAGGCTGGCCTTGAACTTACAATAGTCGTCTAATCCTCCTGCTTTAGCCTCATGAATGCTGGGATCACAGGCATGTGCTACCACACTGACCCAGTCTATGTTAACAGCTGTTTTGAGTAACTTTTGCAAATTAGCAAACACCAAATCTGGAAAAGTACAGATTATGCAATATTGAAAAGGTGTAAGGTAACCCATATTTCACAGGGCTAGCTAGTACTGTCTTGTGTTAGGTCTAATACTCCACACATTCTACTCATTCTCTTAGACACATTCAGGAGCTGTGATTAGTACCTCAAAGTTCAGAATATAGTTGTATTTGTTGGGGGAAGGTCTGGCAAGAAAATAGAGAAGTCTTTTCCCAGAGCAGCCCACTTTGTACATCATTCCAAACGTAATAGCTTTACCTTATTTTAAAAATAACTCTCATATATTTTATTGCATACATTCTAGTTCTGTACATTGGCAAAGCTTCAGTAAAGCTGTAGTTGAATGCTTTTCTTAGACAGGAAGAGGTACTAGGGAATGTGCATCTTCCAGTTACATGGCATCACACTTTAGAAAGAAATTAGCAACTAGCATGACCAGTGTAGTGTGTGCACTGTGCTTTTCATGTAAGATTCGGAAAATGTATTGACAGTTGACTTTTCTTCTCTATTTAATAGACTCTATCAGTCTAGAGCGTCTCAGGGCTTCCCAGGCACTGCAATAATGTCAATCATCTGCTCAAGCCAATGTCTGCACAAAGCCTTGCTCAAAGTAACAGCTCAATAAATATTTCTTTATTCCCTTGTAAGAGCTCAAGATGACTCCTGAATAAATACCTACTGAGACCAAAATTACGTGCTGTCATGTCCTGAGCAGAAACTCTCAGTCTCTAGTTCACACAGAGAAGAGGTCTCTTAAACTAGAATAAACAAATCAGAACTTAATATTCCTAACAAACAGGATCACATCACTCCACTGATTAGAATTGTTCAAGAGTCTCGCGTTCCTCTAGAATAGTTTTGTCCAAAAATAATGAAGACAGTAATTTTTAATTCCCAAAAATTTTAAATGTAAAGAAACAAAAGAATTTAATCTCAGTATACCTTATTTAACCCAGTATATCAAAAATATTATTTCAACACGTGATCAATGCAAGAACTATCAGTGAGACATGTACATGCTTCTTCCATAGTACTTCAGTGAAAGCCAGTATGTGTTACATTTAAGGTATTTCTACTGGACTAGTTACATTTCGAAGGTTCAATGCCCCCAGGTGAGCAGCAGTTACCATACAGGATGGAACACAGAGCTGAGAAACCATCAAAGTCCCACTGAGCGGGTAAGGCATTAATAACCGGGGCCGTCCAGATCATCCTGACTCTGTGCTTCATTAGGGCTTCACTGAAGGACTCTAGAGGTCTTTAGGCCTCAGGAGTTTTGCACTTCTCTCTCCCTTTTCCTAGGAGGCTCACCCCATTTCCTACCTTAGCTCGGCCTACTTCTCACGTTTGACCTTAGCCACCTGACCATCTCAATCACTCCTTTCCCTCTGCTTACTTTAGCTGAAATTACATGTCTTGCCTACGCCTTGTCTCACTCTCCCTTCTAAAGTGATACTTGCAAGGGCAGACGGGTCTTGCTTTGCCCTGGCTATAGCAGGAACTCAAGCAGTGCTTGCTAAGTGGATGAATGAGCGCCATGCACAATATCCGAGCCTAGTCCTTCTAGGACGGTAGTCCAGGCCCAGCAAGGTCCTCTCAGGGTCCCGGAGCGGGTGGGTGGGTCGCCTGGTCCCGCTAGGCGCCGCCACGCTCTGCAGCTCTCACCTCCTCCTTCCGGTAGTCAAACTTCATCGGCTCGGGCTGCCGGGCTGCCCAGTTCTTCTGTTTCCTCTTCAAATCTCGGTCGAAGATGTTGAGGGCTCTGGGCGAAGTGCTGCCCGGAGGAGGAACACCAGAAGGAACGTCCCTGAGACCAATGCTCCCTGCGGGAACCCCGGGCCAGGCCGGCACCCCAGGCCTCCGACAAAAGCGCCGGCATAGCCTCAGCATCTCCAGCCACTACGCCACCGCAGGGTGCATTTCTGTTGTGCGCATGAGCCGGCGCGTATTACGGCAAACACAGAGATTCAAAATTAATCTCAGAGGGTGGCGAAGTTGAAGTAGTTTGGCCCAGTTCGCGTGCCGTTAGGATAGAGCGGCACGCGGGGGATTGTGGGTATGGGTCCCATGCAAGAGATCGGAAGCAGTTGGTGAGGTGTTGTGCTGTTTTCCGAGGTGGTCTGCCTCGGGTTTGTGAGAAGCGCGGCCCCTGGTTTTCTGGCCTCTTTGTTCCTGCTTCGTCAGTTCTCTTCGAGAGTTTTCGGCCAACTTCCACGAACGGATTAGGAGGTGGGAAGGTGATCTTCGTTGGGGGAATCTGGTCCCGGGTCAGGTCGGTGGACTGTGGAGATGAGGGGATGCGTTTGAGGGGAGGTCGAGTTGCCTCCCTCACTCATCGAGTGCTTCAGTTTCAAGGAATTAACGTGCATTAGGTCTGATAGTTGGATGAGTCGGTACCTACATCGCGAAGTTGTTCAGGGTTAAATGCTGTAATAAGTCTAAGCTTTGTAAATGTATCTCTGGAGTACCCGGAGGGCTTTGAAATAAAGCAAGCCTGGCTTGGCCTGTACGCCGGCGGCTCATGCCTGTATTTCAGCATCGACACAGAGGCGGGAGTATGGCGGGGCGAGTTTAGTCCTGGCTATATAGTTAGTTACGTACCTGGCCCAAAATACAGCAGCACTGACGTGTTTCAGTCGGCTTTTCTTTGTTTGCAAATTTAAAATCTGGAGAAACCATTAGAGACTTTACAAGGGAACAATACTGGTTTATACGCACGTGTGTAGTATCTTCATGTGTATGTAACAAATCAGCCTAACTAAACCTTAGTCACTTCTGGAACAAGAAATTACAAGAAAGTGCTTCCGTGGATGGTGGCTCACGCCTTTAATCCCCAGTACCTGGGAGGCAGAGATAGGTAAGATCTCTGTGAGGTCAAGAGGCCAGCCAGGTCTACATAAAAGTTCCAGACATGTCAAGGCTATATAGAGAGACCCTTTCTCAAAACAAACAAACAAACAAAAAAAACAAAAATGATGTTTGTTAGCTGGAATGAGACTAATTTGGTTTTTCGTGTATGGTAGGATTTAAAGAAGGAACTCTTGCTGTAAACCTGTTTTGTTTTGTTTTTTCTCAATACTTAGGAGACTGACTAGAAGAACAAATGAGTGTCGGGAATTTACAGTAAAAATCAACAGAATGGAACCAGAATATGAAAAAATGAGACTGAGATTTGGAAATCTTATTTTTTTTTTCCCCTGTGTGCCCACATGCCTGTGTGTTCATGTGCATGAGGGGAAGGGTGCTTGTATGTGGCAGTCAGTGGTGAAGTATCTGCCTCAATTTCTCCCCACCTTATTTTTTGAGACAGGGTCTCTCACTGGAACAAGAAGCTCCTCAAGAAAGCTAGGTTGGCTGACCAGGGATCCTCCTGCCTTTGCCTCCCCAGCACTGAGACTACAAATGTGAGTGCTGGGGGATCAAACCCAGATCATCCTGTGCAGCAAGCACTTTATGAACTGAGCCATCTCCCCACTCCCCCTGCCTTTTTTTGTTTGTTTGTTTCTTGAGACAGAGTTTCACTATGTAGTCCAGCCTGATCACCAGTTCCGTATATAATCTACATACAGGCTGGCCTCAAACTCCTGATCCTCCTGCCTCTGCCTTCCAAGTGCTGGGTTTACATATCTGTCTCTGTGCCCCAGTGGCAATCTTTTGCTTAATGGCATATACAAGTATGAAGCTAGAAATAGAGGAATTTTGAGTGCAGTGAGCATCTGAACTTTCATTGTCTTCCATAAAACCCTCAAGTTCTGTTTGGTTTGCCTTAAATTTTATTTTTTCATGTGACCTGTAATGTAAAAAAGTGTATTTTTCTATTTGCTTTTCTGCCTGTGACCCAGAATAGGTTGGGTAGTTGAAATTAGGCTTAAGTTGCCTTTATTTTATGTACATTTATAATATATGCACACATACATATATAGTGAATAAATGTGGGGTTTTTAAACATTTCAATTATTATTAAGCATTCATTGTTGTAACATTTGTTTTATGTTTTAGTACTTGGTTTCTCGGAATAGTTCTCCAGTAAAACTTTAAAAATGTCATCCAAACAAGAAATAATGAATGACCAGCGATTTAGAAAGATTTCAAAGGACCCCAGATTTTGGGAAATGCCAGAAAAGGACAGAAAAGTCAAAATTGACAAGCGATTTCGAGCTATGTTTCATGACAAAAAGTTTAAGTTGAACTATGCTGTTGATAAAAGAGGACGCCCTATCAACCACAGCACTACAGAAGACTTGAAACGCTTCTATGACCTTTCTGATTCTGATTCTGATCTCTCTGAAGAAGATAGTAAAGTCCTAAACCAAGAGAAGATAAAGCAGGAAAAAAACCAGACCAAAAAAGAAGTAAAGTCAAAAACCTTTTCTGCGGAGAAAAAGAAAGAAACCAAGAAAATTGATCAGAAGGATTCTAAAAATAAAGATGATTTAGCTAGTTCTGAAAGAATTCAGAAAATGAAAAACTCATATCCATCTAAAAAGATAGATTCAAAAATAAGTGTCAAGAAGCACAATGATGAATTTATGAAAGAAAATACACAAAAGAAAAAAAACATCGGTGGCCATACTGCAGACTCTTTTCCCAAAGAAAAACTAACAACCGTAGACTTCAGCACCTCTGAAATTGTGGAATCTTCAACAGTCGGTTGTTCTAAGACAAGAAGAGAAAAGCAATCAGGTTGGTTGGAAATACAGATCCTTTTTTATTACACTACTTTATACTGATTTTTTAAAAAGTAATAGTTATTTTCATAGTGTGATGAGCAGCATGATCAGAGTTTATTTGGAAATATAAAGCTATGAAAAAGTACACAATGATTTCTTTTTTGCTACTAGAAACTTGTGATTTTTTGATTTGTGGTGGGCAGTACTAAGAGATGGTACATGTTATATAAAAAGAGGTATGTCTGAAGAAGGCAGGTAGAGTCAAGTACTCATTCAATAGTTCATTCAGCTACCTAGTGACTAGTAAGGCTTGGTCCCCTCATTTAGGAACATTGCTAGTTTACATAATGCCCTTGTACAAATTAGAAAACTGCATGTCCTCTGAACACAGAGTGCTCTGGGTTCGTTCTTGCTGAGGGATGGTCCTTTTAAGTGAAGTGACGCATTGCTCTTCCTTGAACAAACACAGCTTCCTGCAGGGTACATGACTTGGTGAATGGAGATAAGACTTATTTCAGCCCTTCTTGCTCCTGCTAAGCTCTGCAGTGGCCCTTGTCGAGTAGCACTGTCCACCAAAAATACATAATAAATTTCCTAGTAGTAGCATTAAAAAGTAAAAATAAGCAGATGAAATTAATTTTATTTATTTAGCCCAGTACTTCCAAATTTTATTTCAATATGTAATTACTGTTAAAAAAAAAATGAGCAAAATTTTTACATTCCATTTGAGTACTAATCTCGAGCCGTATTTCAAGTGCTAAATTGTCACTTCTGACTTGTAGCTACCATGTTGAATGGCAAAAAGTCAGAATCATAATACAAATTTGAATAATATTAAGTGCTATATATAAATGATGAGACAATTCAGAAGTCATCACTCAGAATGTAATCAGAGAAAATTCCTAAGGGATGCAATATTTTGATTGGGATTTGGGGAAAAATGAAGTTTGGGGACCAAAGAACCTTTTTGAGCGAGAGTTTAGACAGTAAGTTCTTGAAGAGGTTCAGTTAGTCTTCAGCCAAATGGTAACTATCCAAAGTCTTCCTTATTTATACAGATAACCTCCCTGCAACCTAGCATGGTGGTGAATGTCTGGAGAGTTACCAGGTTCAGGAGTTTTCTGGGTCATCCTCAGGTACATAGCAAGCTGGAGACTGACTACTTGAGTAAGTAGTTTCAAATTAAAAACTAAAACAAGCCAGCACGTTGGCTCATCAGGTAAAGGTGCTTGCCGCTCAAGCCCTATGACCTGAGTTTGATCTCCAAGTTAAAGAGAAGAAAGGAGAGAACTGACTCCACAAAACTGTCCTCTGTTGTCCATGCACACTCACTATGGCATGTGCATCCACACACATGTATCTTACACACACATGCTAACATGCAACAAATGGTAAATTTTTAAAAAAATAAATACTTCCCTGCAGACACATTTGGGTTTGTTTTTTTTTTCTTAAATTTTCTTTTTGTCACGCTGGGTGTGGTGGCACACCTTTAATCCTAGCTCTTGGGAGGCAGAGGCATGTGGATCTCTGAGATGGAGGTCTGCCTGGTCCACATAGCAACTTCCAGGCAGGCTGGGACTAGGGAGACCCTGTCAAAAACAAACAAAAACTTTTTTTTTGTCCTATTTTTTAAAATTAAATCAGTGTTATTTAAGAATTTCCAACAATGACAGCTCTTATAAAAAGCATCCAAGCATGCATTTAATCCCAGCACTTGGGAGGCAGAAGCAGGCAAATCTCTGTGAGTTCAAGGCCAGCCTGGTCTGCACAGTGAGTTCTAGGCCAGCAGGGCTTCAGGGAAATCCTGTCTCAAAAAGACCAAAAAAAAAAAAAAAGCGAACAAAGGCATCCAAGCACAGGATAGAGAACTGCAGCAACCATTAATAACAACAACAAAAATGACTTTTTTCCAAGTGGGTCAATGCAAAATTTGCATTCAGTGTCCAGACATGTCCAAAGGCAAAAACAATGCTCCTTTTCAAATGTAACTCTTCCAACTTGAGATTAGTATTGAAATAGAATGTTAAAATGTCATTAATTTTTTTATCTTGATTAATATTGAAATAAAATTTGGATGTACTGGGTTAAATAAATAAAATTAATTTCATCTGTGTATTTTTACTTTAATGCCAGTACTAGGAAATTTATTATGGCAAGTTTTAATATCTCATTGTGGTATATAGATCATAGATTCATAAATAAGTAACTTCCTTCTTACAAAGCAATCAAGGACGTGGGATCTTTTTGCTTTTAGAATTGGGATATGAGCCCTTTCAGAGTTGTGAAAGAAAAAGAGAAATCCCATTTAACAAAGCATCTTTCATTCTTAGTATGTAGCTAACAGTTACAAAGTTTAAGAATTAGCAGAAAAGTTATAATTCCTGTTTCTCTTGTCAGCTGTGTATAAATGAATCAATATTTTATCCCCAGCCCACACTTTTCTTAGCCTCTCTTATACTAAGCAGCCTTAGTGATGTTTCTGATAGACGACTCAAAGCCAATTTGTTTTGTGGTGCTAGGGATCAAACCCAGGGCCTTAGGCATGCTAAGCTAGCACTCGCATCATTAAACTACATCTCCAGCCTTAAAGCCACGTTGAATTCAGCATATCCAGAACTAAACACCTAATGTCTCTCCATCAAGCTAGTTTTCCAGTGTTCTCTCTTCATCTGCCTGTCTGCTAGCTAGCCAACTCTGTAAACCAGGAAGCTAGGGCTCATCTTTGACACTTGTAAAACTCCTATTCTCCACATCAAATATCCCTGTCACTGATTACTTTGGTTTTACGTCTAGGAAAGCATTTCACTGTCCTATATCTCTACTGCCATCAACCTTATACTGCCTTCATTTTTGTCTAGAGTGCTGCACTTTCTGTTTTACTGTCCACACCTGCTCTACCCCACTTTCCTCCAGTGGAGTCCAGTGACATCCTCAGTATGCAGATCTGATGATTTCCTCCTTTTGGAAACAGCAGTGGCTTCCCACTGCTTTTATGGCCAATTCCATCCCCTCTGTTACACTTCTTTACTAATGCCTCAGATCCATGTTACCTAATGCACTGTTACCTGCAATCTAGACTTGAGTACTGCCTTTTTGTAATTGACAGATCTTTACAGACGCTTTCCCTCCTGTTTGGAGCAAATTTTCCTTGTCAGTCTAACTTTGACTAATTCCTCTTCATTCTTCAGGTAGCTGCTGAGTAAGCAGCTTAATGCTATTAAAGATTAAGTAGTTTAATTTTTTGTGTGTGCATATTGATTTGATTGTTTCTATTATTTGTCATCTATTTATTCAGCCAGAAGTTAATTGAAGTCATCGATAACTTTGCTTTTGCCAGTTGTATATTGAACACATAGCAGACATTCCATAATTACTAAAATTTGAATCCACTTTCATGATCTTATATGATTTCATTTAAATAACTAATCATGAATTGTACTGAGCTTAACATTCCTTTTTTCTATTTCATAAGTTATATTTTTTATTAGATCTAATGTTAATACTTTAGATTTAATTTAATTCCGTATGTACATCTTTCTCTCTCCCCCAATATCCTGCAGTGGTTCCTTTCATAATGACAGGAGAAACCGTTGGTAAAATGTTTGACAAAGATTCTCTGGAAGAAGATTCAGACCGTGCTAGTGAAATGGGAAGTGATGAGGAATCTGATGAAGTCTCAGGTGATGATAAAACTTCAGCTGATGATGATGGCAATGAAGATGAGGAAGAGGAAGATAGTGAGGATGATGATGAAAGTGATAGTGGCCCTGATCTTGCAAGGGGTAAAGGAAATATAGAAACTAGCTCTGAAGATGAAGATGATTTGGCAGATTTGTTTCCAGAAGAACCTGGTTTTGAACATGCTTGGAGAGAATTAGATAAAGATGCTCCTCGGGCTGATGAGGTAACCTTTTGAGTAAGGTTTGTTTGTGAATAATAGGCTTTTGTGGGTGATAAGATTGATGTCATTAAATTAATTAGGAAGAAACTGGAGAGCCAACTTGGTGGATTTCTTGGCTAGCATGAGCAGTTTGAAGCAGGGCATAGTGACTCATGCCTATAGTAACAGTGCTTAGGAATCAGAAAAAGTGCCATAAGTTCATGGTCAGCCTGGGGTACACAGAGAGTTCCAGGCCAGCTTGGACTATAGAGGGAAACACTATCTCAGAAAAGAAGACAAAACAAAAAGAAAATAAAATTAAAAATAAATTGAGAAAAGCTTTATTGGTAAAACTATTGGGAGAAGAGGGTAGAAGGTTGGTGATTGAACCCAGGGCCTCCTTCGTCCCAGGTATAAGATCTCCCAGTGAGCCAGATCCTCAGACCATGGCAAACAAAACAAAATCAAAAAAGCCTTCTTGATATGGAATTAGTTTATGTAGATTACATGTGTGTTCATGCAAATGAGATAAGAAAAAAGTTCTTTTTTAAAAGTGTTTGATATAGTGTGCAAAGTAATTATTACATTGTGGCATTTCCCAATATATGTGTGTGTGCACTTTGTTCTTACTCATCCTCCTCCCTCCCTACCTTCCTCTTGGTGATTCCTGTCCTCACTCTAAAACCTTCCTCCTCCTTTCTTATCATGTGTTCTTTTAAGATCTTGCCCTCAATTCTCATTGTCCCCTTTCAAGTTTTATGGTGTGCGTGAGTACATGTACACACACACACACACACACACACACACACACACACTTAAAGCTAGATTTTTCAGACTCGGGGAATGGCTTAGTCTATGAAGTGCTTGCTATGCAAACATAAAGACCTGAGTTTCAGTCCCTGGTACCCACATAAAAAGGCTATAATATAATTCCAGCACTGAGGAGACAGAAATAGGAGGATCCTTGGGGTTTGCTGGCCAGACAGCCTAGCCAGTCAGTGAGCTCCAGATTCAGTAAGAGAGCCTGTCTTAAAGAATAAGGTGGAGAATGATTGAGGAAGGCATCCACCATTGACCTCTGGCCTCCACACACGTGCACATCCAGCACTTCCAGTTACCATCCATTTCTTTTTGGTATGTGTATGTGTACATGAGTGCACACACACATGCATGTGGAGACTTTTCTTATTTTTTGGGTGCTAGTGATCTGAATTTAGATCCTCTTGCTTATGCAGAAGATATTTCATGGACTGAGCTATCTCCTAAGTTGCCTAAATATTTTTTTTTCTTTACTTTTTTGTGTTTTTAATGAGTATATATTAATGATACTTAGTATAGGTTTCATGACCTTTTCATACATATATATAATGTATTTTGATCATAAACACACACCACACCCATCATCCTTTCTTGTCCTCTTCCCATTCCCACTGATCTACTTCCTCTTGGGTTATAAACCCTAAAGAGGAACCTACCTCTTGTTTTGTTTTGTTTTGTTTTGACAGGGTCTTCCTAGCCCCAGCCCACCTGGATCTCACTATGTAGACCAGGCTATCCTTGAACTCACTGAGATCTGCCTGCCTCTGCTGGGATTAAAGACATGGGATACCACACCCAGCAACCTACCTCTGTTTTGATAACTGGAGATGGTGTGTCCATCCGATTGCCTTGGAAATGATTATGTTTATCCCCGTAGATGAGTACTGCTGCCAGCTTTTGTCAAAGCAGCTTCTTTTTTCAGTGAGCAGCAGCAACTACAGAACATAACTGCTCCAAGTGCTGAGAATAAATGACTGTTGAATGCTCAGACATAAAAGAGACGTTAATATCACCCCCCACTCCCATCCCCCACCTTCCAAGGCTCAGGAAACATTGTGTAAGAGAGAACAAAAAGTCTAAAGTTTTCAGGTGGAGTCTTTAGAATCTTTTAAGTAGATCCCCTGGAACTGGAGGTATAGAGAGTTGCCAGCCACCATGTGGGTGCTAGGAACAGAACTCAGTTCCTTTGCAAGAGGAACCTTAAGATGCTCTTAACCACTGAGCATCTCCCCAGGCCCCTTCTTGATTTTAAAGGAAATACTTTAAAATTTCCCCCATTTATTATAATATTAGGCATAAATTTGTCATTACCTTATGTTGAGAAATATTCCCTTTATTACTAGTTTCTTTAGGGTTTTCATCATTTCTTTAGTGCTTTTATCATGAGGGGTGTTGAACTTTGCCAAAGGCCTTTTGAGACAGTCTTTATATGTAGCCTGGGCTGGCCTTGAACTTGCTGTGAGCAGCCTCCTGAGTGCTGGGATTTCAGGTATGTGCCATCATGCCCAGCAAGTATTTCTACATATGTAACTTAAAATACATGTGAGTTTATACTTGTTTTAGCTAGCAGCTTGTGTTTCTGTTTTGTTGTACCTTAGGGCAATATTATGGAATAATAAATTCCCCTACTCTGCATTGGTGGTAGACTATATTAACAAAATGTAGTAGTTGGAACATCAGCTCCTGATCATGCTCTGATGCAATAACTAAGGACCAGGTCAGAGAAAGTGCTTATCTGTTACAGTTTTACTAATGTTTGCTTCATTTGAAGCTGTCTTTGCATGTAAAGTCAGTTCATATTTTGATAATTTCAGAACTGGGGAAAGAAGATATTGTACTGTTTATCTTGTTTTCAAGCATTGGAAGTGATATAAATTATGTAATATTTAATATTTTAACTTTCTCAGATTACACGTCGACTAGCTGTTTGCAACATGGACTGGGATAGATTAAAGGCAAAAGATTTACTGGCTCTGTTCAATTCATTTAAGCCCAAAGGAGGCGTTATATTTTCTGTAAAGGTGAGAATTTCTGTCATTTAAACTAAATATTGAGTTTGACTTTATTTCTAAATACTTAAACTATGATGAGTTTTCCTTTTCGTTTTTTTTTTTAACCTAGAAATTGTCCAGTTGGACATGAAGCTGTTATAAGTATTAAAAAAGGAAACATAAGCCAGGTGTGGTGGTGCATACCTTTAATCCCAACACTTGACAAGAGGCAAATGGATGTCTGTGAGATCGAGGCCAGCCTGATCTACATAAAGAGCTCCATTCTAGCTGGGGCTGCAGAGAAACTCTGTCTCTTAAAAAAAATGGGGAAGGAGGGTAAAATTACTTTATTACTTTTTGTTTTTTGCATTTTTTGTCCCGCGCTATCGTCTCGCCAGCAAGAACGATGCGGCACACTCAGGATCCTTCTGCAGAAAAGCTTTAATGCATCTTGAGAGGGAGAGCATAAGCTTACAGGGCGAAGACCCCGAATGTCGGAAACCCAGCCCTTATATAGGTTAGTAAGCCCGTCTTGGACGTGGCAACTCTTGATTGGTCACAAACTCATCAGCCCATATCACGCCACGAGGTAGGCAGAGACTAGAAGGTGGAAAATTGAGTTACAACTTCAAGGTCAGCCTGAAAATATACAGTAAGACCTTTATCAAAACAAAACAATAGTTAACAATACCTAAAAGGCTAAGCATGGTAGTGTATGCCATTAATGTCCATTAATCCCACCAGAGGCAGACAGATCTCTGTGAGTTCAAAGCCAGCCAGGGCTACGTAATGTGACCCTGTCTTTAAAAAAAAAGAAAACTAAAGGAACAAGATATGAGTAGTATTAACCAATTAAGAAAAAATAATTAAATTAGCAGCAAAACCATACAAAGTCCTTGAGAATTACCTTACTACACAAAGATGACCTATATGAAGTAAACTATAACACTTGTAAGTTTGAAAAGCTTATATAAATTTTGAGACAATGTATTCAACCGTCATAATTATTACAAATATAGGCTTTGCATTACAATGAACTTCTTTAAATTTCTCATAAGTGCTATATGTTCTTGGGCACTTTATTAATCTTTCAAATGTGTTTTCTCACTTGTTGAGTCAATATAGTAATAGTACTTCCCATGGTAGTTGTAAAGATTAAGTGGAAAGAAGCTCACATGTAAGAAGTTAGTCCCTGAAACAGCTCTTATTATTATTCTATTTAAATATTTTTAAATGTCAGCTCTGGAGTGTTATTACAGTTTCCACCAAAATCCAAATTCAAGTAAAAGTTAACAAAAAGCATATCAATAACTATCTAAAAGAGTTAATGGGGGACTGGAAAGATGTCTCAGCAATTAAGAGCACTGACTGTGTGTAGAGGGCCTATGTTCAGCTCCCATATAGTGGCTAACATCTGTCCTTAACTGTGATGCCCTCTTCTGACCTCCATGAGCATTGCACAACACAGGTTCAGTTGCATGTAGGCCAAACATTCATATACATAAAATAAATAATTAAAAATTGGGGTGAGGAGTGCTGGAGAGATGGCTCAGCAAGTTAAGAGCATTGACTGCTCTTGTAGAAGGCCCAGGTTTGAATGGCTAACCATCTGTAACTCCAGTTCCAAGGGATCTGACACCCTTTGCTATCATCTCCAAGGGCATTTTACAATCATAAGCAATACAATCATACACATAAAACTTAAAAAAAAATTTTAAAGCTCAAATAAGCAGGAAGAAGACGGGCATGATGGTGCACACCTTTAATCCCAGCAGGCAGATCTGAGGCAGGCAGATCTCTGTATGAGTTCAAGGCCAGCCTGGTCTGGTCTACATAGTGAGTTCCAGGCCAGCTGGGGCTACAGGAGACTGTCTCAAAAAGACAAAAAAATAAATAAGTAAAAAAATAAGTAAACAGGAAGAATGAATACTTTTTTAATGATCCAAATTTTTTTGTTTACTCTCTTTTTTTTTTCATTTGAAGTACTCTGATGACATCCTTGACCTAAGATTCTTTTCCATATCCCTTTCCCATTATGCAACCTCAATCAGCCACTTTACCAGGTTCCACCTCACAGTTTTGTCGAGGCCTATCCATTCCCCTAGTTTCTTGTGGTCAAACAACATTAATTAAATTGATTTGGTGCTCAACACAAAGGGCTTCCACCAACTTTTCATAATAGACTCATCATATATACATGCACACAAAGGTGGGCTTAGTGCTAGTGTAAGACTTTGGCAGCTTCATGAATTCCATATGCTAGGCCACTGTAGGTGAGAGTGCTCTTCGGCACCTCTTGTAAAGCGGTTTTGACATCCACCACACCTCCAGCAGCTAAGCCTTCCTTGGCCATGGTGTGGGTTACCGGCAAAGGCTAATCTGAACACACCTGAGCCTCCATTTCCTCAGGACTGACAAGGGGAAAAGCAATAATAATTTTTTGAGAAACTTTGCCAAATAAAAGGATTCATCCTACTAGTTAGAATATTTAAACATTTTGTGATGCTATAAGAATTCACGGATATAGAAGAAAATGAGATAAATTCATGGGACTGAATAATAGATAACTGAGTTCATATGATAATTTAGATCAAAATAAGCGTCTCTGAATACATGCTGTTAGAACAAATGGACAAGTCATAAGGTACAGACTCAGTTGACATTCACCTTATAACTGTCTAAGATAAACAACAAAATGAAACAAAGGGGAAAGCTCAAAATATCTCAAAACAGAATAAAAGGAATTGTATTTTGGTAATTACTGTGTTTTGGAAATAGGTTAGTAGGAATTTCTAGATCTAAAAAGAGAAAAGGAAAAAAAATCAAGTGTGAGAGATGCCTTAGTCAGTAAAGCCCTTGTCTTGCAAGCAAGGTGGCCTGAGTTCAGATCTTGAGAACCCACATAGAAAGCCCAGGGACACTGGTATACTTCTATAGTCTTAACAGTGGTGACCTAGGAGATGGGCATAGGCAGGTTCAGGGAAGCTCATAGGCCAGCTATCCTGGCCTGGGTAGCACAGTTTCAGGCCAATGAGAGACCTTGCATAAAACAGCAAATGGAAGGCACCTGAGGTACAACACCTGTGGCAGTCCTCTGACCTACACTCATGTGCTCTGTGCACCCATTCTTATTCACACACATGCACAGAAACCTGTACTAGCAAATTATTAATCTCAGGGGTATCAAACCATGTAAATTAATGTGGAGTTTTTTTGGCCAAGTAGCCAAGATTATTTTTATCGCCAAATCACACTGAAAGTGAATCCTTTTTCTTGTCTATCCATATGGTAAGACTATCTTTAGTCTTGTAGTATTTGAAGAATTTCTTTGAAAGAATAGTCAAGTAATATGACTTAGAGATAAGTTGGATAGTTCTGTTCATTTATGTTTCGCCTCTTTCTCTCTCTCTCTCTCTCTCTCTCTC